GGCGCGGCGCCCCGGCTGTCCTTCGGCCAGGGCTGCTCCCGGGGGGCTGAGGGAGGGGTGCTGGGGCCCTGGAGCCGCAGCTGGGAGCACCGCTGGGAATGAGGTTCACCAAATGACGTGTAACGAGCGATGCTCGTTCTTGTCTCCAAAGAAATAAAGCTCCTTGGACTGGAAGCGTGCTGTACTTAAAAAGCTACTTATTTTATGCTGCGACCCTTTTTATTTATTTAAAAGAAAATAAGTTTAGTTGCAAAATTGCCTGAATTTTCCATTTGCTCTGGTATAAAGCGTGAGGATCAAAGGGCTTAAAGTCTTCAGTGACAGAATTTGCAGTATCTGGCGTGTTAAGCCAGTTCTAGGCCGTTTCTTTTAGTATTTATATTTCTTTCAGACCACTTGGCCATGGCTTCCATGGCTTTAGAGAAGCCTGTGCACTTTAAGGCTGTTTTAAAAAAATGGGTAACTGCGAGATTTACATGAGGCATCTATTACAGCAATCACTGTTGAAAACACAAAGGCAAAAGGCCAATATTTGACTGTGGAAACCTGACGTAGCTCTATAAGAAAGCCTTGAGCAATAATTCGATAATGATGTCATTTTGCTAGTTTAATGGCACCATGATGACTAGGGTTTTTTTTTTAATTAACTTTGCTCCTTTCGATCACGTTAAAAGTAATTATTACGTACACACCATTTCAGCTTGGATCAGGGCAGCCTAAGAATTTGCTACCATGAACATAAACCTCTGATTCAAAAGTTGCCCACCTGATGACTGGTTTAGGTGTTTCACATGGTTTTTTTTTTCTAAAATGGGTAATCGTCACCTTGGGCACGGCACAGAAATATGGTGGATTGAATGGGTTGAACGTGAGGTTTTCTGCATGATGACCCTAAAAATGTGGGTAAATAGCGGCTGGTGGCTGCGTGACTCTTGGGTCAGGCAGGGCTCCGGGACCCCAGTACAGCATTGGCATCCCCGAGGACGCCTCGCTGCTGCGTTCTTGATGAAATAGTGAGTCACCGTCCAGATTACCTACAAGACGAGTATTTGTATTTATTACCTTCAATTTTCTGTCATAACCGAAAAATGGACAAAATAGCTCTGTTTGACAGCCTCGGGAAAAGTAGCGCACGCTTGCGTGTGCACACCGAAAGCTCTGTTGAAACTCTATGCATCCACCGCAAGATCAAGGACATCGGCTCAGATCCCCGGAGCCAATTATGCACGTAATTCTAATTAAAATCAACGTAAATTAAGAATGACTGAAGAACGAAATGTGTAACTACCTCTCAAATCCTCATTCATTGTGCCTAAAAAACAGCTGACTGACTGTGAATGCTGGTGGAACGAGAGACCGAGAGGACTTTGCTGCCGCCTCCCTCCTCCCCGTTCGCTGTCGCTCGCCGACTCGCTCCAGTTTGGCCGCTGCCATTTTAGGCGAGGGCTGTACCCGGGCCGCAGGGCAGGGTACCGCACGGCGCGAGACCGACACCACGAAGGCTGAAAGAACCCGCCGGCCTGCTACCCGCGGGCGCCATCCCAAGGGATGATGGAGCTGATGGAATAATAATAAAAAAAAAAAAAAAAAAGGCCGCTATAATGTAGACCAGTTCTCATTTCAAATCAAAGTAGCGATGTAAATTGGAAATCTTTTCTTAGCAGCTGTGACAGCTAATAGATATGCCACTTGTCAAGGGGCTGGTAATGATAAATATGCAAAGAATGTGGTTTAAATATACAGCACTTTTTTTTTCATTTCACTACTACAATCCGTGACACCAGTTTCATAGGAAACGGAAGGTAACAGGCAGGTTCACACAGGCAGGACGGCGCCGGGGCGTCCTGGTTTGCCCAGCATGACGCCGCGCTCTGCCGGCTTCCACGCCCACCCTGGCTTGTGGCGTTCGGGCGCCGGCCTCGGCTTGAAGGTGTCCAGGTACTGCAAGAATGGTAACGAACGCCTGCAGGGCTCTGAGCGTGGTAATTCTGCTCCTCGGCAGCCAGGATTTCTTTGCTTCTGTGTTTAGAAAGAGAAAGGAACAACGACCCAACGTAGGTCCTTTATTCACAGGAGATACTGGTGCACCATGCCATTTTGCAATACACAATAGGAGTATTCACATGAGCATTACTTCAGTGTAATTCTAAGATGCCTTTAACGCCTTCTGCGACTCTTTCTTTTTAAAATACCAATCATAAGAGCATATGAACCAAGGGAGCTTGCAACGCAGTCAGCGTATCTTTGCTTTCAGGGAAAATGAGAAACACCTCACGCACGTGAGAAGGGAAGATGGTGAGGAGCGTGGTTAAATGAAATGTGAGCACGTGCACGCGCTGGAGCTCGCGGAATACCCGCTCTACCTGCAGTAATTCACGGAGTGCTGCGTCAGTTGTTGGGGTTTTAGCAGTATTTGTAAGGAATCTTTTTAAATTGGCATGCAATGGTATGAAAAAGAAACACCCAAACTTGCTTTTTCAAAGGGGGAGAAGCAGCTGATCTAATAGCAATTCCGATACCAATGTTTTTGATACTATTTTGGTGGAATCTGAGGTTCAACTGTAGTCAGATTAAGGCAAACTGTGACCAATTTCACATATGGGAAGTATTACTCAGAAATTAAAGTAATTCTATAAATCCACTTTTTGTTACACACACAGACAGAGTAGAAAACCCCAAACAGGTCCTGGTCATCCAGTAAAAGGCACGCGATTAAACTCACACGCATGAGAACAAGCGATTCACCCCCCGACCGGAACGCCTGCGCCCGGTCCCACGGCCGCGGGGACGTCGGGACACCGACTCCACAGGGTGCAACACGTTTTTACAGGTTCCACTTCAGGCACAGAAGAAAAAGTCAATACTGCTCAATAAGGACAAAAATAAAGCAGAAAACAAGTTTTTCAGTGATGATGACAGTACAGAGTAGAGTATGTGCTTGCAAGTTCAGTGAGTTTCTGTTTACTGAGTGACTTCTGCTGACAGCTTCGCCATATTCAAGTTTAAGAATAAGCAAGGAAGTTGTTTTCTATAGAAACTTCTACGTATTTGTCAGTTATGCAAGTAGTGTGAAACTTGTTTACAGACAAAGAGCCTTGTCAGCCACTTTCAAGGATAATGAGAGGAATGAGAAAACTCTGAATCCACGAGGAACCTTTTTATTTAAATATATAAAACATGGTATTTTGGCAAACATTCATTTTCTTCTCATTAAATAAGGTAAAATCACTGAATGAAAAGGCATTCCATTAGTAAAAACAAATAAGCAAGCAACCCTCTCTTAAATCTATACAAGGATGAGGCAAATATAAGATGCAAATTTGTTATCTTACAGATAAGAAGACTGAGAAGCAATAGTCTGCAAGTAGATACAACAGAAGGAACTTCTATTAATTGGGGAGTTAAATAAATGTCTTTGCAAAAGCAGCTATTTATTAGGCACTAACGTCCAAATTTAATTCAGGCTGTTGTGCATCACGCTGAGCTGGTTAAAAACCGATGGAAGTTTCACTCCTGTGCTAATTTCTTCCAGCTGACTTCCAGCGCCTCTCACCATTTCACATCTCGCAAATGTGAAAGAGAGCGAAGCAAAGTCTACGTCAGGAAGAAACTGCCTCGAGCGAGGCAAAAGCCTCTCCGAATTCCCGTACGTGATACTAAGGCCACGCGCTGTTTTGGGCTAATCCCTTACTGTCGAGAGCACAGCAGCAGTGACGAATATTCACATCTAGGAAGTGTAAAGAAACAGCGGTTTAGATGAACACCTAGCTGAATCACAACTGCTCTCAAAGCGGGGATTGTTGTTAAACATCGAGTTCTTGTAATTTGCAAAGGTACTTCACTACAAAGCAATACAACGGATGTTAATGCATCTGAAACAAGCTCTATGAATTGATCCAGAAGACTATATATGACATACTCGCTTTCGTGTCTCTTCCCATTCTCACTAAACTAGGACCACCACATTTACAGAACAAGTACACGCTGATCAGGCAGTCATCGCTAGCTCGGGCGTTTCTGCTGTTCACCTCCTGTATTCCCGTTGAGTATTTTCTTTGCTTTGAAACTAGCTTTCAGGTGCCTTTAAAACGTACTGCTCGAAGCCGTGGTGGTGAGGCGTCTCCCAATGTAGATCCTGAGGAGCAAGAACACGTGGTTAGCGAGTGTTGCACTTCATTTCAACAAGAATATACAGCGTGCAAGAACACTATTTTCTCACCAGGTTACTACTTACGTGATTTCCAGCAGGAGCAGCAGTGCCAGCTATAATTAAGCTGGCAAATCAAGGGACTACAATGAAACTCAGTTCTCAGTTGCTAGTGACTTTGTGCATACCCTTGCCTAGTAACACTCCCCGAGTCCTAGGACTGACCAATTCTGCGCAAGCCATTCCGTTTCAGGAATGCGACTCACAGGTAGGTATGGGGTTAGCAAGAAGACGCTGCTTCAGCAGGTCTCCAAGTCAGCTGTGTTACCACCTTTTTCCTTCTGTTATCTCAAGTTTTGCCATTTGCTAAATACCTCTGAGGTTTGTAAACCTCTCATTTGCCATCATCTTCACGTACTTCTTACTATTTCTCTGGTCATTACTTCCCAGCTTGGTACGCTTTCACAGCTGCCCTACACTGCGTCTTCTATCCATGTACTTCTGGTAGCTTAAAGAAATTATCATTTTGAAGTGTAACTATTTTACTGATACTACATTAAGCACTTCCTGAAGATGTGTCTTTGTTACTCACTCATTACGGAACTGGAATGATGCAAATCTGCAGCAGTGGTGGAAGTGACCAGAAAGTACGTACTTACATCACCAAACTTGTGTTTATTTTGAAAGGAAAATTCCATTATGCTTTTACTCTATTTTGTGCAGTTGCTCATTTTAATTTTGGAAGGAGTTCAATTAGTTTCACATTACTTCTACAGTATTATGTGGCTGAGATCTTGATTTTGTACAGAAAGATAACCTGTGCCTTCCTCCACCCAAAACGACGCATACCGCAGGGACCACAGCAGATTTGGGCTGTCCCTCCTTCCCGTTACTGCAGCTGCGCAGAGGCCTCCTCTTCCCCTCCACCTCGTGCATACCCTCACCCTCAACTTCCGTAGCCTGGGTAAGGATCAGGATTTAGGCAAGGGAGTGAGCAGGGAAGGAGCAGGACCAGCGCGCAGGACACCTTCCTTGGTGTCACCCCAGAACTCGGACTGCGATGGGAGAGCGGCCAGACGTGCCCGGATTCCCAGCATTCTTTGCTGATATCCAGGAATCTGCCCTGCTCAGGTGCAGGCAAACTCTCACCCTGACTAAGAGGCATTTAATCGCTTCCCTTTAGCCTGTGTCCTGTAGCTGTTTTTAAAGAAGGAGCATCTAACCCCTACATCATCTAAAGAAAACCAACTCCTGTTTTGTTTGGTGCCCCCGGTCCCTCCCAGGTGTAAGTGGAATTTTAAAATATATTAAATAGTATCTTTTTCTGTTGCAATTAGTTGTGAGATTAAAGTCGGATCTCCAATGGAGCCAAGTATTGTGTAAGTATAACTACAGTTCATATATGTAACTCCTGATTTCACCACCACTTATTTTGAAAAATCAACTAGTGAGAAAAGCAGAAAAGCAAAACTTGATACATTCAGCGATACCACAAGCAGAAAAGTCGAAAGCACTTCGTGAATAACTATCTGTCCCCCTTCTACGGAGAGAAGTGCATTACTCATCTTTTAGACAAAGAGGGAGCTGGGAGTCAGAATCAGGCCTCTGAGAAAACAGGTAAAAAAAAAATCTAGTTTGTTTTCTTTTTTCAAACACAAACTTACCCTAGTCCAATGGCCAGCAAATGAGAAAGAAGCAGAGATGGAAGAAAAACCTTCAAAAATTCTGCTGAGAATATCCCCCCTTTCTTCATTACACTTGTATTTCTCATGCTGAGAGTAGCTGTGCGCCTGGGATGTTTAAAAAGGAATTCCCTAGTTTTGAGGAAGAAAACACAGTCACAGCATTAGCAGACACATATTTAGACTTATGGAAGTAGAAGCTGCATCCGAGCTCATCCAGAAACACTGACGGCACTCACTTTGGTGGGATGTTCTCGGGCCTGCTGGACCAATCCCATATCCAATCTGCATTCTTCTTCAGGAGCCTTTCCACTTCTTTCCTCCTCTCAAGAAAATCTTCTTCAGACTAGAAGAGAGCGCCATTATCAAACAGGACTCAGAACTACGCTAGGGAGGAGGTTAGTACTGCAAACCAAAGCTCCCGTTCTGTGTCTAAGACCATATGCCAGACTGCCCCTGAAGCCCCTTCTCCCGTCTCTTCCCACTGTGGACTCCCCATACCACTTCTCTTGAAGCATTCAGATCCTAGATAAAGACGGGGGGAAGAGGGAGATCTGTCCTCAGAGCAGGATGTGAATGGAAAGACCATATCCCATATTTGCTTAAGTAAAGATTACCCTGGAAATAAAATGCCAGAGCCCTGCATTGAATCCTTACGTATCAGATCTGAAAATATCTCCAGTTCACACATCTGACTGACATTTGAGAGAAGCAGCTATCTGCCTGCATTCAAAACTGGATGGATGTGACACTTAGCTGAGGATCCCTGATCAAGTGAGTACAAGCCAAGTGAAACTAATTCTAGTCTCGTAAAGCAACCCAGCTTTTGGGCCAGCGTGAGGAATACAGGTGAAGTGAGCCCAGGTCTATCTGCACACATCTGTGCAGAAAACACCTCCAAACAGTGGCTTTGTTTCGAGTGAATTACAGCACAAATGCTGAACAAGAATATAGTTTCTTGCTTAATACATGTGCATTAAATGGAGCCAAGGTCTGGTGATAAAAATAGGATCGGATCATAGAATTAAAATAGCTATGTATGCACACATACGCACCTAAGAATGGAAATAAAATTGTCCAGGCAGCTTAAATTCTGATGGTTTTCTAACTTTTGATCATTGGTTCTCAAAGTCTAAATAATGATCTTTAAACATATGAAGGGTTTTCTGGAAATATAAAATACAAATAATTCATTTCCACTAATGTATTTAGCTAACCTAAAGGTAGTAATTCCTGTAGGAGTTGTAGAGATGACAGGGGAGAGTTTCAGATAAAGGAAGACGCAATGGGACCAAGCACATTTCATGTAATTTTGGGAACTGATTAAATCTATGTACTATTGATACAGCTGTATAATTTAGAAAGTGTATGAAGCTGACACTCCACAAGGTTCAATACTGTGCAAACAGCAAACACACACATTTTGTTTTAAAAAGTTCGTAATACTGGGTAGAAAAAGATAATCCATGAACTAATACGGACAGCCAAGGAAATCAGGGAGACCCTGAGATGATAATACCCAGTGCACACTCAGCTACAGATGATAACCAATAGTAACTAAAAAAGGGAAGCGATGGAGGAAATCAGGAGGGTTTTGGTTTGGGTTTTTTTGTTTGGTTGGTTGGGTTTTTGGTTTTTTGTTTTTTTTTTTAAGTAAAATGCAAGGGTCCTGAGTTCTTACTAGAATTAAAGAAATAACATTGCACAGTGGAACACGAGTAACTTAGTGCTGGTAACTTTTGCCAGTTTATCATACATTGCTGTTTCTTTTCATGCAGAGGCCTCAAGTGAAATATAATCTTGATTTCTAATTGCTAACCCTGTAAGAATTAGTCACAGGCACGGAATATACTTCAATTTAATGAGAAAATTGTATCTCTTTGTACGTAAACAGTGCAGGGAGAGTGATTTACCCAAGATAATACAGCAACTCTTTGGAAGAGCAGAGAAATTTACTTAAAATACTTCTACTACTTCAGTCCTCAAAATGTTTTATAAGTTAATTTTTTCACATTAAAGCTGGCATCTAATTACAGTGATGACAGGATTTTAGCCTGTCATCATCATGCAGTAAGCTATATATTGATAAAACATGGTTAATATACAGCATCCTTTTCCCCCACTCTTTTCTCAAATGTTTACTAATTTTCTTTACAAGTATATCAACAAATATACAAAATGAAGTGAGAAATAACAGTGAGTTTTTCAAAGCAGCATGTAGAAATGGTAAGTACTAGCTGTTAAAATGAAATGGAATCATAAAGCTATGGCAGTGCTTTGAAAGTGTCTGTCATTGGTTCTCACATTTAAGGGACTCTAGAAATTCTTGCTGCTGTCAAATTCAGGTTTTAAATTCGTAATGCACCAGTGGTAGTGCATTTAAATAAAATTTCATTGAGGGGGACACAGGAAATGTACCAAATGGACAGTTAAAGGGGGAAGAGGAAACTTGCGCATGCTAAGTTGTCCACAGCACATTACTGTTCGCCTATGTAGCTGTGTACATACCCACCCTACTGATGCATTTCCTACACATCTTAACGTAAAATCCCATTGTCTCACAATCTGTTAAACTTACATCACAATCGACCTATTGAGTAGAGAAGAATAATGCCCACTTCACAGGACAAGAGAAACCAGGATAGAGAACACATCTCACGGTCACCAGAAGTTGGAGGCTTAGCAAGGTGCTGACTCCAGCTCCCCTGAATTCTAGGCCAGCAGGTATCTTCTGGATTATCTTTTTTCCTAAAAGCTACTTGTAGGATCTGAACGTTGGCCTTTTCAGCTTGTGGCTGGAAAGAGGCATTTGAGAACCCAGCCATTTTAAAAGACAATAGATTAGGGCAATTAAATCCTTCTGAAAAATCTCAGGTTACAGATTAAAAAAAAAATCCATGCAAGTCAGACACAAATACACAAAGCCTGATTCTGCAGAGATTATTCTAAGTTACTAAGTTATTTAAGTCTCTACATTAGCAGCTTCACCTCTCATTTCCTAATGCTGGTTTTCAAACAATGAGAGTAAGAGAGCCTTTCTCCCAAAGCAAGATGAGATTTTTACCTGAAAGCTATTCTTTTCTCCACTGCTGTGACTCTCTATTTCCAAAGCTCTGTGACTGTCCTGAGGTGTCTGGGAACGAGGAGGGCTTGATAAAAAGAGAAACACAAGTAAAGAACTCATTACATTTTTTATGACATCATCTATGGTATGAACTAAAAGCTAGTCAAGGAAGCTTATATGCATCGTTCTCCAAAAGAGCTATAGTGCCCTGAACATAACTTAAGAGATTAATCTGCCAATGGATCATAGAATCCAGCCATTATATTCAAATAATCTTTGATTTTCTAACAATCTGCCAAGAAGCTTGTTGCACAGAGCTGTTTTTCAGCAGTGCAGAGATATGCCTATGAGGCTGTATGATTTGGCCCGTGTTACTTCCTAACTAACAGTGGGCAGCAAATGATGAATAAAAGTGGGGTTTGGTTTGAATTCAAACTAGCCAGATAAGGCTAGGAAGTTCTGTATCCTACCGTCTATTTTGAGTCCTGTAGTTCCTTTTTTTTTTTTTTTAAATAAACTTTAGGCTGCAGACTTCACAGCCCATCAAAAATCAAATAAATGAAGTAATAACACTGAAAATTTGGACAGATGTAAGTTGTTTTGTTGTGTTATACTCCTAGGAATCTGTTATGTTTCGTAAACTAGATACAGGACAATTCTTTAGCAACTACCAAAGAACTATTAACTGATGTAGCTCATTACAAAACACAAGCTGTTTTTTATCCCCTTTCTCTGACACTCCTGGTCCAGGCAGCAGTGTTAGCAGCGCTATATGCTCCTAAGAACAGCACTGACACTGCCTGCCCAAGGACTGATCCTTTAGAATGACAGCCACACACGGCTCCGGAGTATTTGATTTACCAGAACAAGGCTGCTGCCTGCACACAAGCAGCGCACCCATGGGAAGTTCAGCTGCTGCTGCTGGCCTTCTTTACCAGGACACACCAAAACCCCATGATGGCATCTTCATGAGATGTGAGAATTTTCTAGAGTCCTCTCCCCTGTAACTTCTTTCTCGTTTCAGGACAGGCTTCTACCCAAGCATTACTCTAGTATTTAAATACCAGTCTTTCAGATATGAAATTTTCTTATCTCTTCCTCTCTGCATGTGTGTATACACACGTGCATATGTATACACACACACGTATGTAAGCACTTCTGTATTGGTCTTCGCCTCTTGTGCATAAAAATGGCTTTGTGTAATAGCAACCTTTACTTTGCTTACAATAAAGCATTTTGTTTACCTGTCACAATGTGAACTTTCTCTTGAGCTGCTTCTTCCAGATTCATGTTGAGCATCAAGGAGTATTTTCTCCATGTCACCATTGTGAATGGAAATAGAGGCAGGCACTTGTTCTTGGCTCGTCGGAGTGACAGCGTTTCCACCGCCATTTCCATTACTGCTGAAGTGGAGTTCTACCCAGGAACCTGCTTGGCATAATTGAAAACAGAACCAGAATAAACCAAGTGGTTTTGCATAAAAGGCATGTAAAATATGAGACTGTTGATCCTCCCCAGCGTGACATTACAGTATGACGTGCAGAAGTACCAGCATCGACACCTCGGCTAATAAACATGATGAAATGCCAAGACGCGGGGGCACTTTTGTTAGCGAGCTGGAAAGTCTCACAGAACTGAAAAGAAGCTGGTCAGTACATCCTGTCTCTTTCTGCAGCTGAAGATCTTTTATTTCGGGATATGTTTAATTTTTATTGTTCAACGTGGGTGGCAGCCAAAGAAAATAATCTCAAGGACTTTCTCTGCCAAAGTTTATTTACTTATTTATTGAAAATATTTTAGGCTCAAGACTCCAATAACTGTGTTTTGTTTAGCCTTTTTTCAGTAAGGATTTTTAAGTGTCACTGTTAAGCAATAGAGGATATGTGGCAACGACTAGATCATGTGTTTGCTACTCGCAGTATATTTAACACAGACAGTCACATGTTGCTTTGTTTTTTTAAGAGTGTGCTGAGTAACAACTCTCTTCTGGGCTAGCAGTAACCAATATACAAAAGGACCTGTATCTGTTGTCTCATTTGCAAATCAGCTCGAGGGACAGATAGTATTTGAATTACATAAATGTCAGTGGAATTTACCCACGTAACGCGTTTATGTGCATAAACAACAGTACAAGACGACAGATGTATTGCGCCCATCCTAGAACAGTTTACAGGAAACATAACAGTAAGTACAGGAGAAAGAGGGCAGGTAAACTCCCCGAATTCCGGCAAGCACAGCAGGAAGGATGCCTAAGGCACAAGCAAGGAAACAGAAGAGACAGTGGTGCTTGGAGCGTTCCTGCTCTAGAGGCAGAGAGGCTGGGGCAGAGCTCGGGAAGTAAGCCATGTTCAAGGGGACAGCAGAAGGGATAAAGGAGCAGTTTTAAAGATATGCAAAAGGGGAAATGCCAATGCAGAGATCTAGTGTGAAATATAAACATCAAATGAAGAAAGGTATTCCGGTTGTGAAGGGATTGAAGGTTCATAAATGGAATGAAAACAGCAAAAAGCCAAACTGCTTAGTCTGCATTAATAACATTAATCTCTCTCTTCTGAAAAGCCAGATGACCACAAAATATTTTGAATGGAAACATACTGGGTTACCGTGTTTTGAAGCAACATTTTTCTGGATAGCCTCTTTTACTTCACAACTGTTTTGTTGTTCTGGTTGGTTTCTGGGTTTTTTTCCCCTCCATGCGATCGTATGTGGTATG